TCAACTGTGCTTCTAGCAGTTCCCAGGAAATGCCCTCCCTCTCTCCTCACCCCTCATACCCTCCCAGCTTGAGAACCGCTTCATAAAAATGTATGTGAGGCAGCAGAGCCCAAAACAAGCTTAGGCAGTGGCTATTTATACACACAAATATGTGAGCCTGCACGCCAAGCTGCTCTACAGAAAGATGTTTATTTTTAAAAAGGAGCTGTCGTCTTTACTCATTTCTCAGGATAACTTCTCTCACCGTTGGAGCTCTGCACCCCCACGTAGCGGGACCAGCTCGCTCCTGGAGGAGTCCCTCCAGGAGCACTTGGGCACCTTCCAAACTTTGGTGCATATCATTCAGCAAACACCACAAGTTTCTGTGTGGTGACACTTCACGCCTTCTCAGCGTGTTGACCTAGAAGGTGTACAGCAGGGCTAGAGAGGGATGCTGGTTTTAATAAAAGGCTGATCTGTTTGTAGCATCATCCCATCAGCTGTTTCCTCTTACCACGCAGCTTCTTCTGGTGATATCTACCATGTTTGACTTCTGCTTCAGTGTTACATACATTTTTTTTGTGCTCTTTTCATCATTCCCCTAGGATTAAGCCTGGTATTTTGATTTTAAGAATCAGGTTAATTGTCTTGACCACAAAGTAAATTAAAAATCCACTTTGTTCAGCCTGAAGACACTGAGGTTCCCTGCAGGTCTTCTCCTCTCATCTCTGTGCAGTGGCACACCTCAGCCCCTTGGCGTTACAGTCACATTTTTCCTGTTCTCAGGAGCTTACTGGGCTTCTCTCAGTCAATATGGGAGGACAGCTCAGTGGTTACTTAGACAAACTGGCTGACATTATTCACATAAGTGCTTGCAAAGCATACCATACATCACAGTAAGTCTCTCTTACATGATAGTTAAAACACTTCATTACGTTGGTTAATCTTACAGTTAAATCACTCACATGTGATGCTATCAGCAGAGGCTGATAAAGGTCAGCTATTTGCTTTTATCTTGAAAGCCAGAGTCTCAGATCACTAATGTCTTACGAGGACAAGGCTCTAAAACATCGTTTTTGTGTAGTTCAGAGGTATTTCAAACTTGATTCACTCACTTCAGAGATAATTGTTCTTCTCCATTAACAGGAACTTTATGCCCTTTTGTGCATGAAAGCAAGCGACAATGTCACTCCCATCTGAGATCTTAACTGGGTTCTACCATACAAACTGTTCTTGTGTACATTTTGTAGAAGCTAACAAACTTTTTGATTAGGCATCAAAAAACCTCATTCCTTTCTGCTGTGGACTGTTTAGATACTAATGGTAAAGATAACAAACATTTTGATTTAGTCACCACTTCTAGCAGCCGCATACTAACATTTCTCCCATGGGGATGTGCAAATGAAAGCAAAAGTTCTTCTCCTAAAGTCTTAAAACTTGTATCTGGTTTAGAAAAACAAGGTAATTGATGTTCTTCCTGACCTTTCCCATCTATTTAATTCAGGGTAAGGAATCTGAGCCCTGAGTAGCTTTATGGCAGTGGGGAGTAAGTGGTCTTTATGCTGTAGTTTTTCATTCTGAACTCAAATATTAAAAACTGTTTGTGATTGTTTCTGGTACTAAACACTAGAGTGACATCTATAATCATTTATTTTTGTCTCTTAAATATAAACTTTTAAGATGTTTTCCCACAAACTCCCTGTACAGATTTTGACCTGTCAATTAGCATCCACGATGCAGCCACATGAAAAGTGTCCAGCACAGACAAAATCAATTCTATTGATTTCTGAGTGAATTTTCACTTGAGGGATAGCTCACAAAGTCCTGAAAGCATGATTTCAGTGCTAAACATTCCTGTGGTTAAGGCTCTTTTTTTCAATAATGCACTGTATGATTTTATTTTTATTTGAGCTGAATCCTATTAAGACTAATGGATTTAACTACCACCTTTCCAGTGACAGCTGTATGAGACAGTGACCACCTGCATTGCCCACCCCTGAAAAAAAGGCAAAATGTGTCTCGTTTGGGATTTGGAAAGCCCAGGGCTTAGGTGGTTGCTCTTTTTGCAAAGTGGGATATGAGGGGATTTGCATAAGGGAGACAGAGCACCTGGAAACGGTGTGTATTGAGGGGAATCCAGAAAGAGCTTTGGAGCCAAGAGCAGGGTTTACTTTTTAGTGATATGATGCTTGTTTTTTTCTAAGCAAGCTGGGCTTCTTGCAGTCACTGCTGCAGCGGAGTTAGCTGACCCATCAACTTCCCCTTAAATAAAACAACTTCCAAAGGTCTGAATTTTGGCTAATTACTCTTGTCAGTAGTGCAAGCAGCATCAGTGGTTCCTGTCTCAGTATCTGCCCATCAAGCTGTCCGCTCAATCTCCAAGGCTTGATCTTGTGGAGAGAGATTAAAAACCAAGAAGGACAGAAAATGTCAGCACATACATTTCCATACAGGTGGGGTAATACCAGAGCCAACTGCTGGTGCACACAAGGGAAAGCTCTGTATTGCAAATGCACCTGCAAGCGATTGCACTGGGGCCAAGGGGACCTCAGGGTGGGCTCCAGGAGAGAAAAAAAAAAAAAAAAAAACACCTCCTGCTGTGTCCTCTGTGGGTTGTTCCCCTTGTCTTCTGATGGGTCTCATTTGAGCATTTGACTCCCAGCCTTTTAACTGGTAGCTGTGTTTACAGGTTCTCCATTATAAAAGGACTGATTTTTGGCACGAGTGCTGCAAGTTGAGCTCTTTGGATAGGTTTACTCAAACTCCTCCTGCTGTAAATGCAGAGCTGTCTACTAGCATGATTAAATGAGGTGTTTCTCCTAGGGTCAGAGAAACAAAGCCCCTTTGAGGACACCTGCCTTTATCCACAGGTGGCAGGAGCCTTCTGCAGGCTTACTTAGACCTTCTATACCTGACTTTGAGAGGAGCAAAGGAAGGTGAGATGAGTATCAACCAAGCAGTAAAAATCGTGTTGTGCTGCAGCCAGTTGGTGCCAATCCTAATTTCTTGCACAGCTACTTCTGCAAATGGGTCATTTATGTCAGGAACCTGCTCCTTGGAACAGGCACATCAATTCTCTTTAGTGTGTGATCAGTGGAGCCCTATTTAAGGGACATCTTACTCAGAATGGAGATTTCTTTGCAAACTTTACTAATTAAGGGTGGCTGGTCCTCCTAAAAGGCTGGCTTATCTTTGCACACCATAAACACTTTATTAAGAAAAATCTATCAGTTGTAGATACTACTGATATATAAGCGAGCTGGCCTCAAAGAAGGAGGGTCTCTTTTCTTTTTGGAAGCATCAAGGTAAATGTCACGCAGTTCAAAAGAGTCATAAATCCCCAAACTCAGAGCCTCTCTGATATGACTGAATGGGAAGGGAAACTTCCAACCTCAATTCCTTGAGAGCTTGCTGAATTCTCCATAAGACTTTCTATGAAAAATAACAATGCCCTTCATATTTAAAAATGCACTTTGGAACGAAGCCCAGGAAACCCCCAAGCTCCCCTAGTCAAACACTTGTCCACTTCTTAGCAGATTCTGTGCTCAGTGAAAATGCAATTTTGTTGTTGTTTGTCTTAATGCCTTCTCTTCCTAATGAGGTCTGCACCACACAGATCGCAGTCTGTCACGTTGTGAGATACCACCGAGATGGTGTGTTACATTGCAAAGGCAGTGGCTGCAACATCCAGAGGGGAGTGCTAGGAGAAGGGAATGGCTTTAGAGGCTCTGCTTTAATTAGTGGCAGGGTTTAATTGTAATCAGCTGATATGGTGCTGGCTGCAAGTTGGCCTGGTCTAGGGAAAACAGCCAGCATCATGTCAGCTAACTCAGCGCTTCACACATGACCACATCCCTAATGAAGACTAGCATTTTGGTGGACATCTGTCATGAAATTCTCCATCCTTCTCTCCTGCTTTTTGCATGCTGCGTTAGACAAAATCATTATAAATGGTGCATGAGTACAGATATTAGCTTATTGGTCTGGCTTTTCTAAGGTTCAGGGCACTCAGGCTGTGCTGTGCTTAGTAAAAAGCTGAACTCATTAATGTAAGAGGAAATGCAAAGGATGCGTCAGGTTTTCAACAAGACTTCCCACCCCTCACCCTCCACAAGGTGAGGATGGGATTGCATCTCCTCATCTGCTGTTCCCGGGGGAGCACGTTCTGTCACACATACAGTTGCCTAAAAACGTGGGGATCCCTGTTGGCCTGGGGTGTGGTATTTATTTTGCATTGCTTTTTCAGCTTGGTGATTAAGCAGCCCTACAGCCTGCTGGGGGTACTTCATCTTGTTCCTCATTCTCTTAGAAAGTGACTCTTTGCTAGGTGAGATTTTTATCATTGAAACCTGCAGCATTAAGCTGGTGATGATGTCTCTCTGATATATATATATTTTTTAAGTCAGTTATGTCAGCTGTACCCTTCATTGTTTTCTTTTGTTTCAGTGTTTTTTGTAGGCTTTCTGCTCCTGAACTTAACATTCTACTGGTTCAGGCTTGTAAAGGTACTTAGACAATGAAAAAACACTGTTAGAATAAGCTGCCTTTTGAAAATATTGCTACACTTGTGCTTTTTCCTTTAAGCATTTAACTACTGTCAAACATTTGGCCCTTAAAATATATTTTGAAACCAGATAGAGCTCAGATGTAGCCTTTCTATAATCTAAAGCCTGTGCCCCACATTTTGGCAAATCAATCATTGCTATTCCTGCTTCGGAGCTGTGGAGCAGGCTGTCAACTGATATTAATCAATCTTTGTCATTGCCCGTTTCCAAAAGTCATTAGCATGCTCAGCCTCACATTATATTCTCCAGCAGAAAAATAACACATTGTCAACTGTACTTTGTTATGAGTTAGTACACAAGTGACCTTATTGATTGCATGTAAGTAATAGAGGTCTGTATTTACTGAGAACCTTCAAGTTTTTGTACTTGTCTTTATTGTATTTCTACTTTCTCTTCCCCTCTTCCCATTTCCTTTTTTTTTTTTTTTTTTTTTAAATATTACTTTGTTTTCCTTAGCAGGCAAAACAGCTGTTTCCAAGGAAATGAAGATAGCTGAGAAGCTGGTATGAACACTCTAAGTAAATGAAGATATCAAGTACATTTGACTGTTGGAGCACTAGGAAATGATTAATGACCCTTTAACACATTAAAAAAAGGTCTGCCAACATATTGCTGTTTCTGTTGTCACACAGTAACACTTCAAATTCCTATAAATGCAGCCACGGTGGAGTTAGCATGTGTAGAAATCTTTCTTCTTAGCCATCGTGGCTTTACAGATGGATTTCTCTTGCTAGTTATTCCTCACAGTGCTTGGCAAAGTCTAGCTGTAGGAAATTACCTCCTTTCTCTGTATAAATATATATATATATATATTTATTTTCTTCCAGAGAAGAGCAATTCAATTTAGAAAGGCCTTCACGCCATATCATTGGGGTGACTTTGTTTTTATTTCTCTTTCCATGCCAAGGGAAAGAGGCGATGCATCCTCTGTGGGTTGATGCACGTTGCTGGATATTGCAGCTTCCAGAGCCACTTGGTGGACAACCCCCGGTCCATTGTGATCCCCAGGGGCTGCAGCCCCATCTCAGACCCGCCCCAGCTCCTGTGCTGCTGCAGGGCTCCCATGTCCATGCTCTCCTCTGAGATTTAATAAGGGAAACCTTCGTGGGCTCATGAGCACAAACCCAATCCTGCTCTGATGATAGGGCTGGGACCTCAAATGATGGGGCAGTGCAGGATCCTTTTAAAGGACTGATGATTAATGTGTATTTCTTCACCGAGAGCCCAACATGGAAATTTTACCAGTGCCAGAAGTTTGAGCATTGCACTGGCAAGGGCCCTCTGGGGTCAGTGAATCCTGTCCCCTGCTGCCAGAGGCAAGCACATCATAAAGTACCTTTATGAGTGAATCAGTCTCTGTATTAAAACTACCTATTTGCAATGCTCAGTCAGAAGTGGGTCCAGCCCAGGACAGTTACAAACACGTTTCTCATTTCCTGCCAAAATTAATTCTGGCCAATAATAATAATTTTTGCTCTTTTGTCTGGCTTCTCAGTGTTCTCTAGCAGTCCCCCCATTGGCTGTGATCTAGTGTACACTTGCAAAAAATATAAGCACCTGGTGTAGACAATTGAGCAGAAGTTAGATTTCCAGTGGACTTTTTTACTTTAACCTCAATGTAGTAAAAAAAAAAAAAAAAAATACCATACTTAATAAGTTGGTATCCTCACTGTCTTCCATTTCTAGATTGCCTTAAGGTGTAGCCCCAGGAAAAATACATTACTGGCTCAAGACCTGAGCTGATGAATGCTACTCTTATGGCAGTAAGTTCAGGATCTGAAGCACGCTCTTAGAGTTATCGCTAGCTGGAGACAGCAGGAGTTAAGTGGAAATGTTCCAGGACATTGCTGCTGAAAAACCCTTTCTAGCAGCTGAGGATCCACAAACCCCCACAGCAGGCATTGTGACATCGAGACACCCTCAACTGGAAAAGAAAATACAATATTAGTCAGGGCTTCAACAGCTCTCCAGAATGTCATCACTTTTATTGGGACTAAATCTTAGCCAGGTAGGTCATTCTCTGCTGTATTCTCATCCAACGTTGTATTTTGCTGTAACTGGTTTATCAAAAAAAAAAAAAAAAAAAAAAAAATCAATCTCCCTGATGTAATAAGAGTTCTGGTAACTTTGGAAGGAATATCTACTTCTGGCTGGTGCAAAAAGAAGAATGCAGAAGTTTTAAATCAGTTCGCACAAGGACACCTTAAACTCTGCCCGGTAAAAGCTTCACAACATAATTTGTCTGTCTTTCCTGGGAAGTTTTATTACGAATACTTAGTTGGAGATGTCAACACTGAAATGTCAAGTTTCCTGGTCAAAAAACTTCTCATCTTCTCTTATCTAGGTTTTATTTAGAAAAATGCATTCAGGAGTTTCTGACATGCCACATCCAGCCTCAGCCGGTGACAACACTAGGTAATTGCCAGCAAACCACTTAGTGCATTTTAATAATGTCTGAAGAGCTTCCCAAATCCTCAGCCACATCTTTCCCGAACGTAAACATCTTCAATATTTAATTTGGGCAATGCCAGGGAAGAAGCTGTCCTCTTCTTGCTGGCTGCCAAGCCGTGAGGCAGTTTTGCAGGCAGCAGCAATGAACCACCGGGGCTGGATGGGTGCCTGAGCACCCCTGGCAGCTCTGCTCCCATATCAAGAGGGATACAGAAACCTGGCTTTTGAATCCTCTGGAAAGGTGTTGGTATTTTCCTACAGCTTTGTACCGGAGCAAATGAACTTCACCCTGTTTCAGCCAGCGTAAGCTGGTGTACCTTCAGTGATTACATATTTCATAGGCCGTTGATTGAAGTGCTCTTATAGTCCTTTCCCCTTCTGAATGAATGTTTGTTCCCTGGAGGCTTCTTCAAAGGACTCAGGGACAAAGGATTGTATGAAAGAAAACATTTGCACAGGTCCACATAGGTAGCCTTGTTCAGCACGGGTGGTAAGCACGTACTTAAGCACATTAGAGGTGACAGCATGAAAACACAGCCACAGATGCAGCTAGCTTTGTACCTGGGCGAGGACAGGCTGTTCTAAAACCATTCAGAACATGGTGCAGGATGCCCATGGCTGTATCTTGGCACCTATTGTATTTTTTTTCCATGTTTTTTTTTCTTTTCTGCTTATGCAAGTAATTTGCTAAATAGCAACACCCAAGACAAACTCAGCTTTGTGCCAGAAAAGCACCTTTTCCCTTGTGCCATTATCAATTTTCCTTTATTCTCTGAGCTCTCTTCCTTTATTTCTTCCTCCTCCAGTGATCTCCCCATGACTTTCTGCTCCAACGCTATGGTTACTGCATTGCATGCACTGCGTGCCCCTCTCTGTTAGGAAGTGACTGCTGTCCAAGCCAGTTTGGATAAACAGTGAAATGAAATCAGACCTGAAATATGTGTCTTCCACAGAAGAAGAAGGTGATGTTTGCAGCCATTTGGATGGTGTCATAAAAGCACAGGCTGCTTCCTTGCAAACAAATCTCAGGAGCGAGAGATACTGCAGCCCGGAGCTCAGACTGAGCTCGCTCCTGTGCCTCTGCACTTACACAGCCTCTCTCTGCAGGCTTGCTTGCTTTTACATCGATTGTGGCTTTTCTGAGGGGCCTGGGAAGGAGGGCAGTGGGTTGGGGGGGCACACCGCCTCCACATCCAGGGGACCAAGGGCCAGGATGACCTCGGTCAGCATCCTTCAAGTGGGCAAAGCAGTGGAGTCCTGGCTTCAGGGACAGGATGACTTCCCCAAGGTGTAACAGGCTTACCACGATCTTTATCCCCAGCAGAAATGCTTCAGTGCCCATCATCCACATCTACTGCAGACAGCATGGAGAAAAAGCCTCTAGCCCAGACATGATATTGCCCATGATTACTGTGCTGGTTGTAGTTATTTCTAGGTAAAATGTTAATTGTGATGGATTGACGTTTTTTTTCTGCTCGGTATGTGACTCTAAAGAAATAAATTTTAAAAGCACATTAATTAAATGCTATTTCCTGCCTTACCCAGTGCTTTCAAAAGGTCTAACATAACCTGTGTGAGTCAAGTGTTTTCAAAATAGTGCAGTTCTCTATTTGTTCTATTTTCCATTGTTCCTTTACCTTGAGTTGTGATTATTTTTTATTTTCCCTACCTGTCTTTTCAGTTTCCCTACCCTGAGTGGATGGGTATCTGGACCACGCAGCCCACTCATGCATTGAGAATGACAAGAAACAGGAACTGTTTGATGTCTTGGGATAAAAAACCATCAGCATCGCTTTACCAACAACTGGTTTTGTAGATTGCCCATCCCTCCAATTAAAAATAAAGCAATCATCTAACGGCAAAGGCCCCTCAAGTGAGGAGGCACAAGAGGGCAGTATTACGTTGAATTGAGTCGCACAGGGGTGCTATTAGCATGGGAACACTTTATGGCTGATTAATTTATCCTGTTCGTGAAGAGGCATCTGCTGAGGAAGCGGCAGGGTGAGGCTCGGTGGCTGGTGGAAGAGGTAGCCAGCTCAGAGCCACCTTCATCTGCTGCTTTGGTGTCAGCTGCCTGGGGATGTGCTGAGCATGGGGTTACAGGATAGGAGTCTTGTGCTGGGGCTGCAGCAGTCCCTGGATTCCCATGGGAGTCTGCTGTCTGTCTGTGCACTGGGCTTTCCATCCTACCTTGGGCACAGGGGTGGCACTTGTCTGGAAGCTCAGCAGAGGAGCTGCTCCGTTATCTGCATCTGGATTTAACGGGCAGGAGTGGCAGTCCTTCACCGAAGACATCCCAGCTCTGCCGGAGCATTTGTGCCACCACCCAGCAGACACCAGAAAGGCCACGGCTGGTCCAACACAGGGATCTGCAGCCCCGTACTGTGCCAGTAAAAGACAACCTCATTGTCGCTCAGTGCCTTTTACAGCACAATAAAAGAGGAGAAGTTAAAAAAAAAAAATACATGCACAGAGACTGCTGTGAGCATATAAAAGGAGCAGTGCTGAAGGTATCCACCCAGGGGGAGGAGGGATGGGGAGAGGAACCTCTCCACAAAGCCAGCACCACATCTCAGCAGGGCTCCAGTAACCTGATCTTTCCCAGCGTGGCCCTGTTTTACCAGGAGCCCTCTGGCCTCTGAGGCTCCTTTGTCAGCCTCTGATTTTTTTTGTGAATGATCTGAGAGCGTGGGTTATCTCTAACTTTTCCCCTGTTTTCAAGGAAGCAGGGCTTTAAAAGCAGTGGTTGTATGTGTAAGGCTGGTGGTTAATCTTGAAATATGTATACTGCACACGCAAAGGCTTGAGCAGAGACATGCATAATTTATCTGTGCCTGGAGACCGCTTGCTTTTGTGCTGTCTCATTTTCTGGTGGTTGGATCATGCCTGGGAATGGACTTAAGGCATGGACATGAGCTCGGTGCTCCAATCCCAAAATGGAGGACCCTAAAAAACTCCTCGGTACGTCATACTGCCTCAGCCAAGCCTGACAGACTCAGCTGGTGCAAAGTCCTAGGAGATCCCACTGCAGGCTCAAAGCCTCAGGCACCATTTTTTGATGTACACAAAAGACCTTGTTTTAATAGGAATTAATTAGCAGTTTAAATACTTGCAGGGTAGGAAATCCCCCATGGGGTATACTCGTTAAGGTTTCTTTACACATTACCTCCCAGGAGGATGCAGACTTTCCCTTACTTTCCAGCATCCCTTGCTGCTTCAGCAATAACTGCAGTAATTGTATTGCAGCCACAAAATACTGCAGCTGCAACCATAAAACCTTTCCAATGCTCATCCGTTCCCCTGTGCTAGATGGGATTGTGATGGACAATAATTTATCAAAGAGTCTGGGGTTATAGTGCCACATATTCGTGCCCGGGGTGGCTTTAAGCAATGATGAGGTGATAATGTCAGTGTAACCACATATCCTGTTTGCATTATTTATTGCTCTCATGAATGACAAATTCATATTTCAAAATGGCTGAGGCATTTATCTGCCATCCCAAACAGCCGAGTTATGAATGTGACATAATCTTATCTCCAGGGCAGACATTCCCTTTTATTATTGGCATTTATTAAGAGAATGTGTAATTAAAGAAAAGCAATTAACCTATTTCTAGGAACTTTCTATCTTGAATAAACAGGCAGCTAATGCAGATTTAAGTGTGCTTGTGGGAGTCCTGCCTGTTGAAGCTGCCTTCTGAGGCAGGTGGGCTGCATTACAACGAGGGAGAGGACTGCGTATGAATGCCTACACAATGCTGCAGAAGAATTGCGTCCCCTTTTGGAGTTTTAATTTCAGAGACAGGTTTCAAGGGGGTAATTTTAACTCTTATGATGTGATGAAGTAGTAGGGGCTGAGGCAGGAGGAATCCTGGTGGGAACCTGTTGTGGCTTTACAACAGATAGAAAAATCCTGGCAATTTGGGAAACCCTCACAACTAGGGTGACTGAATGGGCAGGAGTCTTACTTTGTTTTCCTTTTCTACTAATGATCACCAAATATTCAAGAAGGCCAGCCAGTAGAAGCAGTTAAAGAGTTAAGTAAGTCTAAGTTATCCCATCAGCAGTAATCAACGCTTGCAGTGTGGGCTGGCTCTCCTCTGACACATGTGCTCTGCATGGTGTGTGGCTCGCCCGTGCTGTGCTTGCTGCAGTGTGGGATGCTTTGCTGGAAGAAAAAACTCCTATGAGCCCGCTATCACTATCCCACATTACCCCATTTTTGAAGAAATGTGACTAATTCCTCTCATTATAAAAAAAAATAAAAAATAAAAATAAATCTTGGTAGAGTGTTTCATCTTTCAATAGCAGGACATATTGTGGAGGCTAAGAGTGTATCCAGAAAGACAGGAAACAGAAGTAGCAGTAAGGGAAACTCTAAGTAGATGTATGGAAAATCTTCATGATGAATATTGTCAGATGCTGGAACAGAGGCTGTGGGATCCTGGAGGTCCTCAGGTATTTGACGTGGGACCCTGTGCAACCTGACCCACCTTTGCAGCCAGCTCTGCTTGGAGCAGAGAAATAGGGCAAAAGATAGAGATAACTGTGTGAAGAGCTCACTCCTGACCCAAGTTACTCTCTGAGACTGGACACTGATCAGCTCACCAACCATCTGAACAGCTGAAAGCACTTGTGTGGCTTCCTGGGCAGCTGGGACGGGGCTGTGTCCCTGGAGGAGCTAAGGATGGTGAGCACCAGTTGGAGAGCGCAAAGCAGCTGTACCTGCCCCAGAAACAGGTCGTGCTGTGCTTTCTGTGCCACCAGGCAGAGCAGCCTTTTGTGCAGGTTATTTGATTTGAGGAAATCATATTCAAAAGTTCATGTAAATTATGAAGCTGCTAGAAAGCTGTTCTGACACCCAAAGGGCCACTGCTCCTCAGCTCTCAAAATGCTCAATATCTGCTTGCCCTCAGCAAAGCAGCATACGATTGTCTGATTTTGTGAAGTGTGCCTTTTCCACAGCCATTTGAGCTGTTCTGAGTCTCAGCTCCAGCTTTGCCATCACCATCAGCATCCATGACCATTGTGTGCAAGGCACAGCTCCTGGGCACTGTGTCCCCTCCCAGGGGTCACCACGCAGTGACCGCTGTCACCTGGCCCCTTCTCTGGGTGGCCGGGTGGCTGTGCCTGTTGTTTAAGTGTGTTGCTGTCTCATCCGAGATTTGCACTCCTACCATGAGGTTAATTACTTTTCTTTACATAAATATGGCAGTGAAATCTTCCCTTCTTTTCTTTGGTGTACTGACAGAAAGTTCAAGGAAGGGAAGGCTGATATGAGCTCACACTTCACAATTGCAGTACTGTGCCTAGAAAATACTGGCACTAGTATAAACCCAGCACAGTTGCAGATAACCCTGTCACTGATGAAGTGGGCAGATGGACAGCAGAAGGCTTATCAACACGGGGCAGCAAACCAGTCCTCACATCACCAAAGTCTAAACAGTTCTGCAAGGTGCAGAGGTGGCTGTGGCTGGACGAATGGGCCGCAGAGCTCAGACAAGTGGCCACAGGCATCCAGAGGTTTCTCTGCTCACCAGGACTGATGTAAACTCCAACCATGGGTACGGGGGGAGTGAGGAGAGAGGTGATGTCCCAGCACCTTGCTCAGACCCCTGGCTACTGCGAGCGGAGCAGGCTGGTGGGGCACATGAGTTGGCAGGATGGAGCATAAATATGAGTCCTGATATTATCGCTGGGACAGCATCAGAGCTATTTGACATCTTATCTGTTCATTGCTTTTTTATTTTTTATTTATTTATTTATTTAATGACTTTTTCTAAGCAAGGGAATCACTGCGGTTTTGCCACCAGCTCCATCTCCTCCAGGTGCCTGCTCCTGAGCCCCTCTCCCCCCATCACCTCCCTCCACAAGTCCCCGAGCAGGAAACCAGACCCCGAGCCAGTGGTTGGGCTCTCCAGCCCAGCTGCAGGAGCAGCCTCCTGCCCTGCCAAGGGATAAAAAAGGGAGGAGATTCATTTTGTGCAGTGAGCTCACGCTCTGAGAATGGGCTGCCGAGGCTCATTGCTAACACATGCAGCGCCAGACTGTGCACAGGCAGGGCTGGGGAGGCTGCCGGGGCTGTGGAGCCCATTTGCCTGCAATTGCAAACAACAAAGCAGAAGAGGTTGACAGTGCGGTGATGATGGTAATTGTACCTCCTTTGGCTGCCAGGAGTTCAGACACCAACCAGCCAGATGTTAATGTATAGGGTTTTAAACCAGGCAAGGTGCTTTGATGATTTTTTTTCTGAGCTGAATGTATTTTTTTAAAGTCTAAAATATACTTTTAGTCCTATGTCTTTGCTGCAGTATCCAGTCCTGCTGTAGGATGTGCCAGTGGCCTATAATAGAAGATGTATTTTTTTATTTCTTTTTTTTTTTTGGTAGAGATTTAGTTTCTGGATGAGCAAAACATCAAGCAACTGCCATAAAGCTTTGCTCTGAGTAATGCTTTTGTCCTTCCAGGTTTGGGAGACTATCTGACACTGTCTACGTTGGCTGAAGATTAAAGGGTAGAGGGAGACTGTGGGTCTGGATGGAGCTTCCTTCCACTCTGTCCTGGAAAAACAAAGCAAAGACAAACGTGCATCCTGCCCTGTGCGTTAGGTGTGGAAGCAGCTTGGGGGTGAGGAGGGAGGTGGGATGGGGGATGCCCCCCAGCAGCCACATCCCTCTGCTGTTTGGCAGGCAGGCAGCAGTGAAGACAGGAAAGTAAGGGAGATGGACAGGTAAAAAGTCAGATTTGGTTTATGCCCAAAGGTCAGACAGAATCAATACGTTCCCACAGAGCATCTTGCATCTAATCAGTGTTTTCTGGTGGAAAATTTCTGACAGGCTTGAAACCTGAGGCTGGGTTTATTTGCAAATGCCTGGTGAGTGATAAACAGGTGATTTAGTACAACATTTATTTTGCACTAAAAAAAAAAAAAAAAAAAAAAAAAAAAAAGAATGAAAAGAAAGAAAGAAATTAAGGCTTATGTGATTTTTAAATATTTTTTACTTTTTTTCCTGGATGATGGGGGAAATGGTGACTGCCTAGCAGGTCACAGCAGAAACTGTTTCTGCTCTACTTCTGGGCCAATTGTTGTGGTTTTGCTACTCCTGGAGATGGCAAAAAATAACCACCATTAATTAAAGTTGGGGAAGTGCCAGTTCTTGATTTGGAATAAAACCAAAAGTGCTGGCAACTTTTAGGGAAAGCTTTTTCTTGCAAAACAACTGAGATTCACAAGTCACGAGATCACAAATCTAGAAGTGCTTGCAAGGAACAGTAATAAACCCCCTCAGCTCTCTGGGAAAAAAAATATATATTTTTTTTCATATGTTGCATTTAGCTTCTTCTAGATGAAGAAGTCGAACAGGTTTACTAGCAGAATAAAAAAGCCTTTCCTTGCTTTTACGCTGGACTGCGTATCCCATTGCAAACTGCTGTTTGTAAAGTAAACTGCAGCATGAGAGAGCCCAGGCTTTCATCATGTCCTGAAAATGTCTGCTCAAAATATCTTGCATGAAAAAATGAAACACTAAAAAAAAATCACTGTTATGCATAATAAAACCACTACAGAAATTGTTATTTATACACAAATATGTAAAAATCAACTCAGAGCCAAGAGGACATGTTTCAGCTGCATGGAAATATAATGGTTTGCTAACTCCCAGATGAAGACAGCGAGTTGAAAGCGAGATGTTCACACAAAATGTGTCAATATGGTCAAACTGGCAGTTTCTGCTGAAAAGGAAGAAGCGAAAGCTCCACTGGGAAGTTCTTGTGTAGCTCCAGCCCCCACCAGCTGTCCTAAGCAGGGGGCTTGAGGCAGCTCTGGCAATGCCACCGCCACCACTGCCCATGTCACTCTGATCCTCCACACCAGGGAAAAGGGCTATTAGTCCATCCTTTTCCCCAGAAAGTTTGGTGGCCCAAATTTATGTCCCAGGACTCTTCCACCATGCTCCATAAAGCCCCTGCACATGACTGAAGAGCATCCCATCCCCTCTTTGCTGCAGTGAATGCTGCATCCTTTTGCAAGAGGGGCTGATATAGGGAAGGGATGGTGGCTGGGGGGTTTCAGCAGCTGCCAAGCCCCAGCCCAAGCCCACCACAGCCACTGCTTGGTGCTCGGGGGCTTTGTGGCTGTGTTGACGTTATTACAAATGGATTTTCCAATGCGGGAGCAGAGGGAGGCTCATCTCACCCACTAGCACCTGTCTCCTGCTCTCCCTCTGGATGCCCCTCAGTCTGGTGGGAACGGCTCTTGCCTGCTGCGTGTCTTGAGCATGCCAGTGCTTGATAAACCTCATTTGGTCCAAATTTGCTGTGAGATGCTGTCTCTTCAGAGAAGCACATTTACCTTCCTTCTGGCGGTGACCCAGCAGCAAGGCGCTATGGTGTGCAGAATTGTCAGCGCTGTGTATTAAATTATTGCTGCTCCTTCGACTGATGTGCAGGATGGAAGTTATAACAGAGTTGTTTTTCTGTGGAAATCTATTGCATTTAGGTACATCTAATTCAGTAAATCTCATCTGTACACAGGGACTGCTTGTCCTATTGCCTATCATTTTGGGATTGCACTACATTGCTCTTTGTGCTCAGAGTATGAACCCTCATAGACCCATCTCTATATCTCAGTTGCAGCAAGTTATCTGTGACCTTATTCAGTCCCCCTCTGGAAGTGCCAATTAAAATATATATGTATATATATATCTGCATATAATGCATGAAAGCTCAATCAGACTCCAAGCTCCTAGTTTTCTTGTGGGCCTCAGAAATCTCAGCTCCCTAGCTCTGACTTCAGCCAGGCACTCATCGGCTGATTGATTTCAGACAGAGCAAGGTCCATTCCAATTTCCATGACTGTGGGAGACTTAAAATTGGTGATTTTTTTGACTACAGATTGGTTGTTAGAAATATTAATAATGACAGCTTGGATTTATAATTAGCCATGCATTTATATCACATTGAGGGGCTGTTAATCTTCAATGAACACATTCCAAATAATCAATTTATATTAAAATAAATTGGCATGTAATATCTATCTAAATCAATCTAAACTTAATTCTTATTTAGGAGCCTCTGCTTAGCCACTTATAACTTTTCTTCAGATGGCAGCAGTTGGGTTTGGGGGACCACGGGGTTTGCTTAGCATCTGCAGCCTTAGCAGGTCCAAATGGGAAAACAGGCACAGGTCTGCTCCCCTTGCAGCTTCCCCATCTGCCAGGTATCATGGAATTGAGGTCACAGCTGTGGGACTGTAGCGTTGGTGAGACAGAGGTTTGTGTCTTCTAGCACCTGAGTGGGTTATCGGGTGTCTCCACAAATGGATTCCTTGGATGTGGGATCACTAAACGTTGCCTTTCACTTTTCTCATCCACAAAATTTTAAATTATCTGCTAATATTTATAACAGCTTGTTTGAAGCTTATTGGCCCCTTTATTGATTTACCAAGGTAAAGGCTCTCCTGGCTGACTGTCACAACTGACCAGACTCCAGGTGAAGGACGTGTGTGAGCTTCCTGCAGCCAATGGCAATGTGCAGATGAGACGATTGCAGGAGGCTGGGAAAAGTGCACCAAGTTTGCACTGCGAAGCTTGAGTCTCTCAGACCCACGCAGGTGAGCTGAGTTTTGTGATTCAATTCCCCACCCATGTTGTGAAGACTCAAATGTTCAGAATTCAGCAGTTTTACTCATTTTGGGCAAGTTTTTGGAGCTCTGTGGGTGAGGAACTGAGTATCACTTCTGCTAAAATTCATAGATTTTATTGGTAGGAGGAATTGCATTTTTGTGCTTGTCTGGTCTTTTACCCTTGGTTGTTCCTTGCTTGTTTTTTGTTGATATTGAAGAAATGGTTATTATATTGTTTCCAGAGATTAGAGGAATAGAGGAACAGTCCTTGGGTGGCGGATGTGCTGTCTGACATAGTTCAAATGACATCCTCACCCCCATGGTGAGGATCACAGCAGTGAGTTTTTCTTTTGGGGGATTTTGTTGATGGTGGTTTTATTTGTTTGTTTGTTTTGCTGTTGTTTGTATCTGTTATTTTATTTTATTTTATTTTTCCCCACTAGTAAAAGAGGTGTGCCCTTTTCATAGAACACAGTCAAAACCTGAGGAAACTATTCCTCCCTGGAGAACCAGAGTGGGTGTGAATACCTCTGCAGTGAGCGAAGACTTTGAAATCCCACCAGGGAGTTCCTGGAGGTGCTGAAAATCATGCTTTAAATAGATTTGCAATATGTTTTCATCCCCGCTACACTCTTATCAAAGAAAAAAAAAAGTATGTCTTGCTTCAGACTGATGCTATTTCTCTGTCTCTTCTTCTTAGTGAAAATAAACAAAATAATAGCAAGATATAAAACAGGTTATGATGCCAAATGCTGCTGTGCTTAGGGCAGCTGGGGGAGCCTGGGTGCCTTGCACATAATGCTGGGTGTACTGTACTTGAGTGTTCACTGAGAAACAAGTCAGAAGAAATAAAATAAAAAGAAACAGAGGTACCAAAGTGAGTATGGATGGCATCTGCTAGGTTGGCCTCACCTGAGACTTATTTACTGGGGGAAGGCAGGAGGCCTAGGCAACACTGCTTTACCAATTACAGGTGTCTGGTTGTGGTGTCCTGCCTGTTGACTCTGTCTCAGGGACAGCCCCCTGGACAGATGGGGCTGAGGTCTTCCCCAAAGTGATGGAGGTGTTGTGCTGGCCAGTGCTCCCAGGGAGCAGCTGGAAACCAGCCGAAGCTCAGCCGAGCCAGGGAGAGAGAGCTTGAATGGGGTTCTCCTAGTACAGAGCCCTTAGAGGTTGCTGAATAAAAGGACTTGTCCTGCAGTGGTACAGCAGGCAGGGAGAAAGCAGGTTTATCCGAGTGTGTTTGGTCTGATGTTTTGGTGTTTTTTTTCCCACTTTGACATTTTTCTTTATTCTCATTTGTGCTTCCACAAAACAGCTGCAACTTCTTAGGGGCTCCTGGGGTGGTTTTGAATGCCCAGTGGAGAGGGGTATGGATCATGATGAGATCATGTTATGCACTAGAAACCTTCTGCTAGCAAACCTTAAGCCTCCCTTAGTCCACACTGGCATCTAAAAACACCACAAGGTGCCACAGCAGGAGATCAGAAAGGCCGAAGGGCAGCAGCAGTGTTATACAGCTTTTACAGGTACAGCTGTTAGGTGAGAATGGCCACGTGATGGAGGGAGTGGAAAAATCCCGGTGGCTCTGCCACATCTAATGCTGGTGGGGGAGCCTTGGAATAATACATGTTTCATATGGCTTTTCATTGTTTGTTGCTCCCGATCAAATCCTTTATCTTGTGGGGTTTTGTTCAGTAATGCTTTTTGCTGTTGCCTTTCATTTTCCTCAGTCATTCTCGCTTTCCACCAGCCTGTTGTTGTCTGCCCTTGTTGTCTGAAGTCATTTGGGTGACGTCCGTTTTTACTTCTTCAAAAAATTCCAGTGCCTTTGCTAAAGGACGGATCACATCCTACTTAAAGTCAACAGAAAGACTTCAATGAGCCTCGAACTGGACCTGAAATTGTTGCTTCTTTTCAGGTTTCTAAATATGATATTTGCCTCCTAGCAACCACCATTTGCAGGCAGTGTGCCAGCAATGTTAAGCTCTTGCTTGTGTGCAGCTGCTGGCATCCCAGAGCATCCCGCAGAGCTTTACAAAGCGCCCGGTGGTATCAACTCACTCCGCTCACTGTAGGTGTCACAGGGAGAGTGGTGTTACACAACAGACTGAAAAACAAGGGAAAGTACTGCCTGACAGAAGATGTAAGAGGACAGGGAGTGTTGCAGATTAATGCCGCAGTTATGATAGAAGTACCCTGGGATGTTTGGGGTTCACCTGTGGGTTTACTGCCTGGAGCATCCCGAATGGGTGGTGAAGTTCATTCTGGGAGCTGTACTTTGTGCATGGGCTTATCCTGGGTGTAGTCTTCTGGTCCTGCTCTTCGACAGCTAATTTGGTGCCTTTTTCTTCCTTCAGTTATGGCAATTCATCACGCTCTTCCCCCAGCTCATCCTCTCTGATATGCTGTGACAGTGAATGTCATTTGTTCAGGTAGGACAAGGTGAAGCTTGCCTGCTAGGAGCAGTGATTTTTCTTTCAGGGCCTGGCAAATGCTCTTGGCTGAGTCAGGTCTTTGGACTATTTTGACTTCCTGTTCTCCTACATGTATTTCTGTGTGTCCATTCCACAGGTTTGGGTCCTGTGGTGGTGTCTCTGGATTTCCTTGGGACCATTTTTCTCCTGATGGTATGCAGCATGTTTCCAAAGACACACTGGTCCTTGAAGTTGCACTGCAGTTCTCCTGTCTCCCAAGTGATTTGTATATACGGTTTTCACTACAGGAAATATTATTCATTATCTAGAATTATTTTTTCCTCAGTTGATGAGTTGATGGAATTATTATTACAATTCTATTAAAAAAAGAAAAGCAGGAAAGAGATCTGTCATCTCTCTCTGTGTACCATGCTACTCCTGAAAGTGACGGTACATTTATCTAGGTTTAATAGCTAAAAGATTGGTCAAAGTGCATCAACTGTGGTCCTGTTTGGGGAAACGCAAAATCTTTTCTTATATTCAGCTGCACTGGAAGAGTTCTGTTGTTTCTGTGGGGCTGGAACACCAGTAGTGTTTGTGGCTCCATCAGCAGGCCACTTCCATCAGCTCTTTGTGATTCAGAACAGCCTGGCCTCCTTAGCTCCTTTTTTAAGGACCTCACCACAATAGATGTCTTGCAGGGTTTGCATGAATGACCTCCAGTCTAGTGTGTCCTGTTTGAAAGCTGCCGGTGACTCTTCCTTGTTCGTTAGTCACTAATTTAAGTTCTTCGGAACTTGCTGCTTCTGATACTGGTGGGGTGATTCAAGGTTACTTAGTTGTGGTGTTTCATGAGAATCACCACTTTTCATTAAAGGAGAGGAAAGAAGTAAATATTTAGTGCTCTAAGTGATTCCAGAAAGCAAGCTGAGCATGCAGAGCTGCAGGGGCAAAATTCAGAAGACAAGTTAAAACTCTGCAGCCTTTAAAATGATGTTAGTTATTATTTTTAGATGTCATGATGTTTTTAATGAACTCCTGAAATTTTAGAGCCTGAAGCAATTCAGTTTGGAAGAATTATAGTTTTAAGCTTCAGCACACCTTTAGAATCTTCCCTGGTTTAGCTGAGAAGGAAGTGGATGCACTAGGGAATTACATATGTATATGCATATATTTTGTATTCAGTGCATATATATGTATACATCATTCTTTTTACTTTAACTGCATCTATTTTGCTAACTGGACAGTTTGCAAGGACTATATCTGTATTCCAAGAGGACAAAGTTTAAGAGGAATGGCATAAATATACTGTGGATTTTATTGGCGCAACAATTGTAATATCTGTATCATATAGAAATAGCTGTTTAACAATTGTTTCTCCCACAGCAATTAAGAACTTATGAAAGCTGAAAGATGATGAGCATCATATAATTGGTTTGTGCAGAGTCTAATGAAACTATTTTCTCAGTAAATAGAATATTCTCTTTCTTGAGAATAGAAAGAATAACATGATAAATATTTATAAGTCATCTTATCTCTTTCCTGTCATGGAGTCTTCATCAACAAATCTCACTTTGAAAAAGTAGTACACACACTAGAAGAGCAGCTTATTCACTATTGCTTAGTATCTGTACTGCAGTGGTTCCCAGAGGACCCCATTGGAGATCTCATGATTCCCACGTGAAATTGTTGGACACTTCAAATCAGGCTATGCTGAAAGTCTAGGCAACTCCAAAGGTGTCTGGGTATCCAATCTGTCCCAGAAGGGTGTCCAGATATCTCCATACGCAAAGCTCTGAAGGCTGTGGGAACAGCATGAAGAGTGCTCAATTGTGCTTCAAGGCTATTTCATTTGAGGATGATGGCTGGCCAAAGCATGAGCTGGGCATTTCTCCCTGAATCTGCTCTGGGACCATATCCTGGAATAATGCCCCTTGAAGCCACAAAAGCAATATTATGGTTACATATATATGGCTTTCCTTAGCTACTTGCACAACTACTTACTCTGCTTTATCATCAGAGTGGGTTGGATGCTGCACAGCATGAGTGGTTTGTATCAGGGCTGCAGTTAAGTGTGTACATCTTGAGGAATGAGTCAGCAAGGAGATGTCTTTCAACAAGCAAAGTTTTTCTTCAAAGCTTTGTTCTTTAGTCTGACTGTGCACAACTTCTAACAAAAGATACCCAACTGGTTTCCTCTGTACTCTACATATATATATGTGTATATATCTCCTCTTTGGGCTCTGTTCCCTACTGTGTACATCTTGATGTGGAGAGCAACATCTGTGGAGCTGGCATGTTTGCCGTGGCAGGGCGAGCAGGAGGGCTTTGGCTCCAGGCACCATCTCCCCAGCCTGCTGCCCACAGGACATGCCCATACCTGCTTTGCATTTTGAGGGAGAATTCTGGAGTCTGGAACTATCTTTAAAAATGAATCTTCTACTTACTTCCTTATTCTGTTTCTCTAACTTTACTTAAGGTTCCTCATGTGGATTTTGGGGGTTGCATTTTCAGCAGTAATTTTGGTCTGTAATGGTGTGGCCACTTGAGAGCCCTTTTGGCCCCAGAGGGTGCTGTACTTATGTACAGCCAACCTGCTTTGTCAGCGTGGATTATGGAATGCACTCACATAAGATCTCCTTGGCAGCTCAGCTGACAGATGCTACAATAATGATCTGACTGCAAGTAAAATACTATGAAGATATATATATATATTGATATTTCAATTACTTCTTAAATTGTACTTGTTGGGATCCTTGTGCCTGACTTGGATATTTAAGTATGGATTGTATCTGATTCTAAGAACACATCTTTTTGTCTGCTCAATATATATAATAGCTTATATTTCCATCCTTGGGTAATTGCTTCTGCTTTAAAGACTGACCCTGAATTATATTAACACAATAAATTAATGTTCATTTCTTACAGAGAAAGGATTTCTCTAAGGAACCTGCGTAAGTGCAATTTTCTCTGTTCTTCTTCCATGGTCCTGATCATAAATAAGTAGCTTTGAGTACTCATGGGACTGTGCAAGGGCTTCTCACAAGCAATTGTTCTTACAGCTCTTTTATTGCCAGGGTGTTGAACTAACAGCTTGAAATTGAATTGGTGGTGTTTGTAAATATGTCTCTTAATGTGTGTGTATATATAAATATATTTATTTTTTTTTCCTCCAGGGAATCAGGTGATGGCAGGACAGAGATTCCTGAAGAACCTCCCTTTGAAGGGAAAGGTGACCTCTTTTCAGCAACATATTAGTGGGTGTTGTGTGGACAGCTGCTGTGACTGCAAGGCAAGTTCCTTTATTTAAGGAGGAGAATTCATACTTACCACTAGGGAAAATTTTAAATGCACAAGAAGTGTCTCATGTAGTACAAAATACTACTGTGCTGTTTCCTGCGGCATATGCTTAGATAGGATTTTTCTCTAAAGAAAGCAAGGGGGGGAACATTGCATGCCAGATGTCTTCTTAAATGTACTTGCTAAACAAGGTCATTTTAATTTGTCTGGGTTCAAAACAATTTCCCTTAATGGATCAGGGATTGTTATTTCACTGACACCCTATAAAGGGTGCAGCTCTTAAAATCAACAGATGAATTTTTTAGTGAAATTCTGAATGGAAATTGTCTTCTCAAAGCAAGTCAAATGATATAAAGCATTGACTGCTGGCCTCTGCTGAGACCAGGGATGTAGGAGAACAGTGGTTTTACCTCTGTCTCTTGCATTATTTTGGCAAGAGTGAAATAGTGAACGTGGTTCTGCTTTCCACATCTCGGAAAGGATGTTGCAAAACTGGAAAGGATGCCGGAAAGAGCCATAGTAATGATATGAGGACAGGAAAATGTGCCTTATGGTTTGAGATTTATGGAGCTCAATCTGTTTAGCTTATCAGAAAGATTTCAGCTTTAAATGGATCACAGGGTTTACATACTTTCATGTAGAATAAATAGTAGGTATAAAGGTACTATTCCATCCTGCGCATAAAGGCATAGCAACAAGCAGAGTCTGATAGTTAAATCTGAATCCATTTACATTTTAAACAATATGCATATTTTTACTGCTGGCATGCTCAACCAACAAAACAAAACAAAAAAAGCAGACAAGCCTCAAGAGAGGTGTTACATGGTCCTTTTGATGCCTACAAGTGGTGGCAACGAGTTTTGTGATTAATACGCTCTCAATAACCACAAGCTGGCAGCCAGTCCCTCTGCAGTGCAGTGGCTGGATGAGGGTCTCTGGCCATGGGGCTGTGTGTGAGGAACAAGTGCCTGTCCAGCTGTCCGTGAGTCCATCCGCAGACCACAGCCGTGCCTGGGTGTGCTCCCAGCTGGATGTGGGTTACAATATAGAGAGTGCTCAGAGCCATGTTCGCAGGCAGCCCTCCCTGGGGATGTCCATGATGTCACTGTGAGCTGTCCCATGAGGGACGAACTGCCTCAATTCCATGTCCTGGTCAGGATTTTGCAGGCTATTATGCTTGCAGATTAAATCCCTGTGCGTACTCAGGGTCCTTGAGAGTTGCTGCTGCCTGGCTTGCTGGCTGGGTGCTGAGGCCAGGCTGTGCATGCAATTCCCACAGAGGGTGGTTGCGTAAATCCCGAAATCCCGCTCTCATGATGTTAGCTAACTCGCTGAATTAACCCTGCTGGAGGCACAGACTGTACTCCTGTAACTTGTCTTCCATCCTTCCACCACTGCACTGCTGGTAAAAGGGCTTTCTTGCATCAAAGATTGGACAGGACTTCTAATCAAAATAATCCATTCTCGATTATCTTCCTGTTTCCCTTTCTTTTTTATTTTTCAAGCTTTTCTCACTGGAGGGAAAAAAAAAAAAAAAGACAAGAAGGGTAGGGAGGAACATGGAAAAAAAACACACTACTCATTTCCCGGTTTTGTTTCTTTAAAAAAATCTGGAAAGATTTCAAAATCCCTGAAGCGCTGCTTGTGAAAATTTCACAGTAGTAGGGCTTGGGGGAGAAGTCCTCCAGCTCCCTCCATGTGGTTTCATAGCCATCTTAAAAGATTCTGTTAATTTTTAAGCTAATATTAAGCTAGTATAATAATGATGGAATATTGCCTCCTTCCTGAAGGAGGAAGGGGAGCAAAATTGGGTGGCATGGTGAAGGAGCACGTGGGAAGCAAATCACTGCTTATTTTTGCTTCCCTGCAGTGTGGGGTTGGGGATGGAGGAGGGAGAAGGGATCCTTGCAGCAGCCCCAGCTGCTGCAGGGTCTGCAGAAAAAGGCTGTGGGTTGGGCAGGGAGGGGGGTCAGTCCCCCACAGCTGGGCTTTGGGGTTCCCCTGTAGTGACACCAGGCTGCTGCATGGAGATCCTGCAGTCTTCCAAGGGAGCAGTGCCATGAATGCCTTCTGTGGCATCTGAAGGAACACTGTCAGCTGTGGTTTGTTAATTGTTCTGGGTCCCCTGCCCCTCCAGATCTTCAAGGAAAGAATTTATTTTTTCCTCTGTCATTTTCTTTGTTAGAGAATTGTTCTTAAAATGATGTGGTTTGTGCATAAAATACTGTTTATGTATAAAATACCATTGAAGTTCAGTTGGGTCCTGAGTTGACCCCTGCCTAGCACTCAGATCTTTCAGCTTCTTGTTTAATTTGTCTCATAGTGTAAGACACGCTACTCCCCCCATACAATACAGAAAGCTTGCTCCCCAGTACACATACCTAATTTGTAGCTAATGCTCTCATCGTGGCTACTTTAATAACAGTATAGATTTTTTTTTTCCAAATGAGATGCACATGTGGCTCCTAGGCAGTCATTTTTCTGTTTCAGATTAAGCTTTTCTCTTCAAGATTCCACATCATACATGACTTTCTGTAATCTTTTCTATTGATTTCATTCCTAGCATGCATCAAAACAGTGCTGAAGCAATCCAGGGGTGGACTGACCTGCTTTGCAGAGAAAGAAGGGGCAGAAGGCATCTGTTTACGCTTAATGGCCTTCTTTTTGGGTAATAGCCCTGGGTAAAGAGAATAATATTAGCTAAAGGATACTTTTCCCAAAGATGGGAGTCCTGACTATTTTCTCCCTTGCTAAGGCTCCTAGAAAGCATCTCCCACATGGGAGACAGCTGCTAGGTGGTACAGTCTCCTTCCAGGAGAGGCTAGAAACTCAGAAGGTGTCTGATGTTCTCACAAAGCCCCAGGCACTGAGTGAAATAGGGACTAGCCCAAATCCTAAAGGGGAATGAAGTTATAACTTAACCAGCTGGAGCTGAGAAAGGCCACTGACTTAACTCCAGACAGACTGGCATGTTTTGCTGTTTGTGGAATATCCTCGTGTTTCTTACCAGCACACGCTGCTGGGAATGAGATCATGCCAGAGCAAGTTTGTGATGCTGAGGCATCTCCTGGGTTTGACTGGGGCAGAAATGCCCTGTGGTTTCTCTACATCTGGGTGAAAATAATAAGTCCTGGAACACCTGAAAATTGATGATTAAAAAATAAAATCTTTCCTTCTACTCCCTGTCGCCTCCTCCTACAGATACAATTTAAAGATTTGAACTCAGTTTGTATTGCAGCCAGAGATTGGAGTTATGATTGTTTCCATTTAGAACAAGGAAATTGAAGTAAAGCAATTAATCAATAACAATATGGGAAAGTAAAGACTGAGACAGTCACTTGAAGCTTGCATGCTTAGCTGGCTAAGGGGAATTTTAGAAACTTCTGTCTTTTACTGCCTGTATAGGTTTTATATTACCAGCTTCCAAGTTCAGAGAGAAGTGGTGCTTTGTGTTTGTACCACTTCACCCAGTGTTATAAACCCATTCATTTACAGGGATTAATTATGAATAATCCCAAAGTGTTTCCCTGACTGTTGTACAAACTGTGCGCTCAGGCCCACTTCATACAGCCGTGAAATGCCATCATCCCTCAGGTGAAACAAAGCAACTCTTCAGCAGCACAAAGCAAAGCTGCACAGCAATTTAGGAAAGGAAGTGAAGAATAATGGATTCATTTGAAACTGCAGGGGGATTTTAACTATGCAGAATGCAATTACCAGAACTGGAGTTTATCCAGGACACTGGGGTTAAGACCCCATCTATTACAAAAGATGCCATGGAATTGCCAGCGTCCTCCCCCTCATTTCCTATGTGTTACTCACTGGGCTCCTGAGCAGGGAAGAAGCCGGTCCTGTTTAGGTTAAGAAAAATTATGGGACCTCAGGGCAAGGTGCAGAGCTAAAACTAGTATCTCCCTCGGACCAGAGCTTTCCTTTTGCATGTGGTGCTAAAGGCTTTGTGTTGGAGAGGGAAATGAAGTGCCTGAGTGTGTGACTGTCCAGAGCCACTGATCCGGGACAGCTGCTGGTCTACAGAGCATGTGATGGGCTGCTGAGCTAACAGCATGGCTTTGAGTCTAAACTTGGTCATCAATACCTTAACCAAGGAACGGACAGTTTCCCAATTGAGTTTATACAAGTTAGACTGTGAATCCATTTAAATAGCCAAATACTTTGTGACTTGGATCAGAAATTACACATTTCAGTATAGGCAATAAACTGAGGACGGTGCCTCTAGTTTGCTGGTCATCAGAGAAGAGCAGCATCACAGGCCAGAAGATTAAAATCTCATCTACGTGACCTCAGTTTGGAGCTTTACCCGACTGTTTGAATTTTGGAGTTTCTTGGCCTCCTGAACTTCCCACCAGCCCCTCCGCTGCCTCTCATATGCACAGTCCTTTCCTTTTTTCAATACCTTCACCTGAGAAATTACAAAAGACATTTCTCCTGCAGCATTCACACTCCTGCAGGACCAAAGAGGAAATGCAGATGCCACTGGCTTGTTTTTAGGAGGTGGGCAAACAAGCAATGTTGGTTCAGGCGGGGAGGGAAGGGATGGAGATGATGTGCGCTCAAATATGCGTAAGTTTTTAACTCCCACCAAAATAAAGGTTGTGAAAATTGGGGAGCAGCACTTTTTAACATGGCAAGAAAGCTCAAGAGAGCATCTTTGGAAAGCTTTTTGGCTGATTTGTGAAATGCAGAAGTTAGCGTTCAACGCTTCTATTTCTGGGCATGTGGCTGATTAAATCAAAAGTCAATAAACTCTGCGTTCTTTGGCCTGATCCAGGTATTAGGTATGCTCAGTAACTCAGAAATTCTTCTCTCTCGCATCCTCTCCATTTACTGTTGAGAGTGTTTAGGTCTTATTTAAATTTGTATCATTAGCTACCCATAATTATGGCCTTTTGTTCAAGGCTAGTGAGATCAGACAAGTAAATAAAAGAAGCCAGCACCACAGTGAATGCATAACGTGAACCGTTTGCCCGCTCACAGGTGCTGAGCAGAAAGTTACCAATTAGTAGTGAAGCCCCAATAAATAATGCCTCAGTCTTGTAACTGCAAATCTTTCTAATAGAATCTGGCTATTTCATGCCCTGTGCCATAAATCAGCGCCCCTGATGAGTGTGCTTTGAATGGCTGGACAAAAATAATTAATCAAGACTAAATCAAAAGCAGCATGCTGAATGCAGAGGCAGTGTTAGCCAGGATGCATTCCTATGAAAAAATCATTTAAAAATGGCTTATAAATCTGTGAGATGGCTGAGGGAGGATTGAGGAAATGTGACTGGTATGGATTTTCAGGTTTTGTTGTGCATAGATATTGCATATGGTTAAGTCTTTCCACCCCTGCAGACAATGGGGGTTCCAGGACAGATGCAACTTGTGGCTTTGCCCACCAAACCCAACAGGCGATGACGCTGGACTGAATGACTACTGTCACACCCCTTTTGTAGTGACACTCAGTAGAAATGCAGAGAAGGACCACAGACAACAAAAAGAAACCCTGGGAGATCAACCACCATTTGTGGCTTTACTGTGAGGATAAAGGACTTGCAAAATCTGGAAAGCTGGATGCTGCTGGGAGAGGGTTTTGCTCCATTTTAGCTGCTTTTCTCTCTTGTGGTGCCTGACTGAACTGAGCACCATATTTCCAATCAGATTGGAAGTGACAGTGCTCTGATAGCTCCTGTGCTGAGCACTGGCCCAGTCATTGAGTCTTTATCCAGTTTTTCTCTTGTACTTATCGACCATTAATGAATCGTGACATATTCTTCACAGACACTGATTGAACCAAAGCTGAGCCTGTGATACTGCCAGGAGCAATGCTAAGAAATACAAGAACATACACTTGCCAGCTTCAACAGGTAAATTAAGTATGCACCAGAGATGGTGTGTTTACTTAATGTGAAATAATGCTCTATTTCATATTCATCCTTAATGCCCTCTCTTAAACAATTCTAATGTATTTTTTACACGTAACATTCCTGTCTGGAATACTTTTCAGCTTATTTTCTTCAATTCTTCTCTAAGGGAGCAAAGATTTGCATAACATTAGGTCAAAAGCCCATTGAGGATATATTACAAGTAAATTTTGTAAAACAGATTCATTCTCTGGCTGTGAAGAGGAAGCACTGGGCTCGGAGCACGGTGTTACAAAGGCACCAAAAGCCAGAAAATACCCAGAGCTTCTGCTTGCTGCCAACAGTGCCCAGAAGAAAATAGGAAGGCACTGAATAGTTAATGGATCTATCACTGTGGTACATAAAGCAGACATTGCTGGGGTAATATGATGTCTCCCCAGAAGAATGATAAGGTGGTTACCAAAAAGTGATTGTGATTCATAAGCTCATAGAAGGGGCAGGGCTGGTGCTGACTGTAACAGCGTGGCAGAGTCACCTTTAATGCAGTAGCTGTAAACCTACTATTCAGTAGTGGAACATGCCTTGTTATGCTCAATTCCCGCCTCTCAGCGTGGATAAAAAATTCTATCTGGGATAATTTTTAACTTTTAAATAGTGAGTAATATACATTTTCTTGGAATTCCACCTTTCAGCAAAAGAACAATAACTTTAACTTTTTAAATAGCCTTCACCATTCAGCAACCATGCTGAGAAGATTAATAGTAATAGCTATATTTTATTATTTTTATAGCAGGTTGTAAGGGAAATGAATGTTACTTTCTGTGTCAAATGAAGGTGACCCTGACCACCACTTGTTCTACGGAAACTTGAGTGGAACTGGTGCTGTAGCTCAACTTTGGGTAGCATCGTTAATGAGCCAGAAGAAAAAAAAAAAAACAGGTTTAAAAACTCAGTGTACAGAAAAAAATCTGCAATGCCCAAATAAAATCAATAACACAGCATGAAAAATAGCATAGGAAGTAAAATAGCTGATCTGCTGGCTCATTTAAAAATACTTTATCCTGACCTGAAGTTTCAACTAAAAGAAATACAAGTTTTGCACTTAAGCTTGTGTTCGTTGTTTTAATGAGCTCCAACCTGTCTGAAAAGTGCCCAGCTCACCTAATTCTGCCTTTTATTTTCTCTCCTCCCTGACTGGTTTTGTTTGGGCTGCTCCAGAGGGCAAGTGGTGTGGCATACAGCAGCCGGAGGGGGAGACTTGCAGTCACGGTGGGCTTGGCTGGCTGATTTGGGGGAACTCTGCTGGGTTTGGGGGTCTTACTGTTTCTCTTTGTGCAGGACATGGGCTGTGTCTGCCTGTTCAATATTGGTATGTTCCTAGAACTTGTTCTGAACAAGGAAAGAAGGAAAATGAAATATGTATTCCTGGAGAAACCAAAGACAAAATAGGATCACAGCTTTTTCTGCTGCAAGGCTGTGGGAACCTCATACTGGCATATCAGAAAGTGTTTTGCTACTACAGCAAGGTTCAAGCACCTTCTAAATGCAGCTCTACCAAGTGGAGCTCCACTAGCATGAAAGCTTTTGGGACAGTTGTTCATGCTAAACATCTATGAAGTTTTGGGGGATAGTCTCCCTCATCCCTGTACATGCAACCTTACAAGGCAGAATTTAGAGTTTTGTGCTTTAATTTATTATTAAAATGTGCTTATTTGCAGTCAGATCTGAGCTCCTTCACTGAAGCCGAGCTTTCTGAATTAATTCCTCTTCCAATGCCACCAGCTGGGCAGGGTGTTGATAAAAAATTAGCCACAGAAGCTTCTCATGAGTGCATGATGGCCACAGATGTTCTCCAACTTGCTAAGTAGGTTTTAAATGGGAGAAGGAGGAGAAACAATTAAAAAAGTGTATGTCTTCCTTCAGCATGAGGAAGCTGACCTGTGGAGGGTGAGAGGATGTGTCCAGCAATGTCATCTTATCAGCACAACAGTGAGTGAAGGCTGTGTAATTCCTGCTTTGTACCCCAGTACTAGACAAGCTTGAATTGTGTGGAGCCCAGATTGGGATCAAACCAGGGAAGTTTGTGGCTGCTAGTTTTGGGTTGTGTTCCAAAACCCTTGCTTTCTCCTCTGTTGTTGAGTATGGCTTTGTCCATCCTGTTGCTAACTAGCATTTTTATTATGGACTCTGTCAAATTGTAGGCAAGAGAGGGGTGTGGGGGAAGAAACAATGTATTGGGCATGCAAGAACAGAAATTATCCTTAAAATACACTGAGGTGGAACAGCAAGGATTAAGGGAGGATAGCAATTGTCTCTCTCTTCAACAGGAGCTCTTCCCCACCCAGAACCAGTCTTGAGAATCTTCCTGCTTTTTCCAAAAATAAAGGCCTTCTCATATCCAAAACATTTCAGAGTAATTTCATCTCCTGTTTAACTCCTGGCTAATAATTTCATCTTTCATTTCCTCCTATTGTTCCCCCTGGCATGTGTCCCATCTATTATAAACCCCAGATATCATAAAGCAATTTTTTTTAGATTTAGGGAGAGGGAAATAAGAGTCAGGTGGTTTGAAGTAAGATTTTTATAGTAGCACAAGTTCTGGAAGCATTGTACAGAGACTAGTATTAAAGAAATAGCTCCATGGGAGGAAACTGGAGTGAGGAGACAAAGCAGCCCTAGCTCTTCGTGAGAGTTGTATTACTGCCAAGGCAAGGATAATTGCTCGTATTTAGGAATCCAATGCAAAATGGAGCTTTACAGGCACTAAGGAGAGAGTAGAGATTTTTGCAGGCACAAAGTAGCCTCTAGTATAATACTCATGGGAGCTGGGCATTTCTGAAAATCTCTGTCTAATTACTGTACTGAAAAAAGTTGGCTGCAAAATAATGTATTTACAAAATTAAAATGTCTGTAAATATGGTTCGTGTCACTGTGTTTGCATGCACAATGACAGCAACTGCAGAGTGCCATCAGCAGGACTTGAGCGTGTATTTTCCAGTTGGGGCTGGCTTCTGGTATGTCATATCTCAAAGCATGGGGTTGCATCCACATCGTCCTCCTTTCCTCTAGGAGATATGGCTCTGAGAATTTAACTTTCCTCTATCTTATAGAGATGGATCAGGGTCCCTGTAACACCATCCCAGGCTGGGTGTAGGAGAGCTGCCTGTGAGCGCTAAATGTGGCATTGTGGTTCTGCTAACAAGCCCCTCTGGATCTGTCTCTTTCTCTCCTACACCCATACCACAGCGTTTGCCTACCAGGATGCAGGAAGGTGGATGCATGCAATCAGGCTGCTTAGACAGGAAGAGATGATGGGGCTTCCTGGAGGACACACAAAACTGGCCCTATTGGCACAGCTACAGAGGAGGTGGGTGGAGGAGCAGAAACTGGGGGGTTTATTTGCACAGGTGCTCCTCATTCTCTTCGGAAACAAAATGTTTAGCATGCAGGAGATAGGATATTGAATCACCAGACTGCCCCAGGAGTCCTAAACTATAAGAAATCCTCTAAGCATTAGAACTAACTTTGGGATAGAAAGTCTAGGTGCTGTCTGTCCTCTCTGTCTCAGTCCCTGTTGGTTTTCTTCCCCTGCCCTGATATGTAGGGGATGCCTCATGACCTGTAATGCAAATGTGTGGCTGTAGTCTGATGTGTAGAATTTAATGTTAATTAGGGAATATTCTTATAAGTCACAGCTTTCCCCCAAATTCATCTCCCTGAACTTGTGGCCCTGAGCCAGAAGGAAGGCTGACACTTCGCAGGCATCTCCTGCTGTGTGGGTTTGAGCACTGTAAGAGTGACTCTGACAGTCCCAGGGAGCCTACAGTTGTGCTTGAGGATATCTTTCACAGATCACCTTACCTCCTGCACCAAATCAGCACTGACAGGAGCCAAAGGTTGGAAAACTGTGGTTGTTTTTTTTTGTTTTGGTTTTGTTTTTTTGAGTTTTTGTTTGTGCCCTGTAGGAGGGCTGCTGGGGGTCAGACAAAAAAAAAAATAAAAAAAATCCCTTTTAGAAAGGGAATAAAGACAATGAGGATATGTCAGTGGCTCTGTCAGATCAAACAGAAGTCTGATGTCATTTGAATGTGGGATACCAATACAAGAGGTATTGGTATCCCACAGTGCAGTGGTGACGGCATCAGGAAAAGGTAGAAGATTTGCACAAGGGGGTAGGAAATAAACAACCCATGGAGTTCATCAATAGCTAGTCCATGGCACATGCCTTTCTATTGTATCTGCCCCAAAATAAAACAAAACCACAAAACAAACAAAAATAGCCCTCAAACCTTGCCCAGGGTCTACTGTGAATAAGTTGAAATTTGTATTTTCATATGAAACTGCTGAGGGGATAAAAGTCCATTTCTCCTTGAAGAATCACAGCACTGATAACATCTCCCCTGTTATAGTTGCTCTGCAACAGTTGTGTGTTTCTTTGAGGAATACAAGAAAAAGGCTTCTTGTGGCATGTGTTGCGATGACTTGCACACCAGCAGTTCACTACACCAACATGATTCCTGCTGCTAATGACCTGTGCATGCCCAGCAGCTCTCTAGGAGTTGTGCTAGCCGCCCTGTTCAGGTGTAATCTTGAAATTTCCAGCGTTCTCTGTGACTTTGGTGTATTTAAGATTACTGTATGGGGATGTAAGCCTGGCTCTGCAAGTGATAGATTTTTAAAACTTTACTGTTCTGGATTAATTGTTGTTCACCTGTAACTGTGTTTTGGATTTAATGAACAGTTATGATGATAACCAGGCTCTCCCTCTTTATGGAAAGGCAGCACTTCATAAATACTGAAATGTGCTCTCTCTACATCTGTGGTGGTTTCCTACAAATCTGGAAATGAAATTACGTGGCTGCTGTCTTAGGATTGTAGCTATTGAATAGCTATTGCTAGCAGATTCATCTAAAATACATAAATAAGGGAAGGAATTCCATATGGTCTGGGAAAAACAAACAAATACCACACAAATGTGGCACGCTGATTCCTGAAGAGGAGGAAAGAGCGTGTTTATTGCTCTTTTCCTGCAGTTTGAAGATACTGCAATATTGCAACAAAAGCCCTACTGTCTTTGGCTTCATATTGGCTTCCTGACCTCTTAGGGCTTCCTCCACCAGCAACTCTACCTGCCGTGTGCTGATGGCTCAAGTTCCCCGTGTGTCTTTGATGTGATACCTGCAGTGGCCTGCTGTGAAGGACATCTTGCAAGTAGAAAAAGGCTATGACTGTTTTGGGGATGAAAGAGGTCATTTTCCAAACAGAACCAACATCTTGGTGCTGTCTAGTGGTAATATGTCCTGGTTTCAGTTAGCACAGAATTAATTTTCTTCCTAGTAGCTGGTGGAATGCTGTGTTTTGGCTTAGGATGAGAAGAGTGCTGATAACACCCCGATGCTTTAATTGTTGCAGAGCAGTACTTATCCTAAGCCAAGGACATCTCAGCCTTTTGCTCTGTCCTGCCAACGGGCAGGCTGGGGGTGCAGTAAGAGCTGGGAGGGGACAGACCCAGGACAGGTGACCCAAACTAGCCAAAGGGGTATCCCTGAACTGTGGTGTGGTACTCATAAAATCACACTCTTTGTGTATTTTTCCCCCCACCTTCATCTCTTTGGAAGGAGAGATGGAAATGGGAAGACAGATAGCAAATGGAAGTTACTGAAGAATGGACAGAATGTTTAAAAACGAAAAATAATAAAATCTAAAGTCTGCTGCAACAACAGTCAGGATTTCTTAGATGATGACGTAAGACACAGAGAAAATAACTGTGGGACTTTTCAGAAACCTCTTCTAGGACATTTCTTAGCCATCTGTAAGTGAGATTAGATTATTTTAAATCTTACATAAGCCCTAAAGTATGTTGATATAGCTCATGAATTAGATATGGAGGTTTGGGACCAGTCTCTTTCACGTAACCTGGTATAACCTAGTAGCAATAACATAACTTTGCAGCAGGATTCTTACTGAGTTGAGATGGTGAGTTTGGTTGAATTGTGAAGCTCTAGAAATGGCAAGAGCACAGTGTTTCCTGAAAGCATTGCAGTGCTCTCCAGCCCCCAAGAGATGCAGGAAGATTAAAGGAGGTCAGGGGGATGCAAGGCTTTTCAGAGAAAAAGGTAGCAAAGGAGACTTCTAGAGGGTAATTCAAAATGGAGTAAAAGGAAAGAGGAAATAACATCTGCAGTGAATGTTTTCAGTATGGGAAGATCCATGGAGAAGGGTTTTCCTTTTTTAATTTTTGTTTGTGTTTTTAATTATCCAGTGGAAAGTACTCAGGAGAGCTGTGAAAATCTAACTAGACATTTTTACAAAGAAAAAGAATTGACTGCTCTACTGCAGCTTGGGGAAGGAAGTTTGCCAGTGTGAAATTCCTGGAAATGTGGCAGACCAAAGGAAAAAGCCTTATGGTGAGAGAGACCCCAACTGGGTCTCTCTGAGGGTCCTTGGGGATGGCAGAAAGCATGGAGGAGCTTGTCTAGAGCAGCACTGAAGCTGCTGTGGGGCTTGCAGTCATCGTGAGAAGAAGTCTGCTGGATGAGCAGAGACCCAGAAGATGACCAGAAGTCACTACTCTTTTCTCTTTACCCGTCCCCCTCACCTCTGCACAGGGGTAGTGTTTTATAAAGGAGAGGCTGACCCAAAGCATCAAAGAGTTAAATACTACATCAAACTCTAGGTAGATTAAACTCTAAATTATTCTGACACCTATTATATTAAACAGTCAATAATTTACTGGTGGCACCAGAGAGCGCATGAATTCTCTAGATCAGAACAAATGCGGTGATGCAGTCTGGGCTATTTTTAATAGTAATGCTTTGGACACAGAGTGCTGAATTCAATGTATCTCATCACTACGTGCATCATTTAAAGCTTTTATAAACAGCCATGCCTGCTCAGAAGTCAGACGTTAGGCAAGCTCTTGGGCAGCACCACAGAGCGGTGACGTAGCACTGTGATAAACATTTGCAGAGATCCAAGTAGGGTCTTGATCTGGCTAAATGTTTGTGAAAACAAATTATGAGGGAAGGAGAGGTTGTTAAGGGACTCAGAAAGCTGTGTGAGCTGTGCCAGTAATGTGTAAGAAGCAAATTCTCTCGAGATTCCAAGTTCCCAGAGCCGAGGTCTGTGCCAACCAAAATAGGTGCAGGTTGCTGAAGAACTCCTTCAGCAGAGGGTAATGTATTTCTGCTACTCGCAGCAATGTAGCAGGGGAAACTCCTGCAAATGTCAGGAGGCAGTTGTGTGATGCAGAATGACACTTATTTGTCCAGTCAGTGTCAGCTGTGTGGAGATTGGTTGAACTGCAAAGTGCACGGGCTCTTCCTCCCTCCTGCAACGTTGCTGCATTCAAATCGTGCATTTGGAAGCGAGTAATAATCTTGGCAGAGCTATAGAGGGAGCTATTTATAATTTACAGCGTGGTCTAATGTTAGCTGCCCTAGTTTGTAAGTACCTGGGCTTTGTGTAACACAAGTACAGCTCAGAAACTGCTTCCTCGGAGGAACTGTACTGTGAGCTGCTGCTTGTGGCACTCCGGTGGGAGTATCTGAGGGTGTGCAGTGGTGGCTTAGATTCCCTTATTCTCTTCTGAAGCCTGAGGTCTGGAGCTGGCCTGCGATGCAATGTGAATAAGCTGTAAGGAACTAGTGCAGTTGATAGGGGAGCCCATTTATTTACCGCAGTGACTTGGTTTTTGGGAGGCTTTACCTGTTGCTGATCCCTGGAGGAGGAGAAGGGGAGCTGGCAGGTCCTGTAGGAAAGAGGGGAGAGTACATTATGCATACGTGGGAGATAAGCACCTTGAGCTCCCCATATTACTTCTTTGCCAGCTGCAAATCCTTTATAGCTGGGATAGGCTTTTTACTCTTCTGAGTACAGCAGCGTAGTGGGCTTTTATCTCTAACTGAAGCAGAGACGCACACTGAAATACGAGCAATGTCAGAAAACAGACTCTCTAGCTGACCTCCAAAGTAATATCGTTTAACAGCAGCAAGAAATGCACTGACAAACCACTGGAAAAAATACACATAAAGTATGAAGCGGCAACTGCGTGATTTAAACCCAAAAGGGCAATGCAGAATTGATGTTCAGAGCCCGTTCCCAAGTGCTTTTGTCATCATCTGTTACAAGTGCTGTATGCTAGCCCAACTGATGCAATTCCCATGGACATCTGGGCAGTACTTGAGTTACATCCCACCCCAAGGGAGCTGACCTTTCCTTCACTGAGAGAGGGAAATAAGTCCCTCTCAGAATTCAATGACCTCGTTTGAGTTTGACCACGTACTTTCTGATGGCTTGCTGAGGTCATATGTGTTGACTTACCCTATTCCTGTGTAATAAAAATTGGCAAATCTCTCTGGAGGGAGC